ATATTAATTGATTCAAACAAAGCAATCGCCTTCATTTGCAGTACTTCACAACTAAAGCAGGTAATCCTGCTGCATAACTCTTCGATTACCTTCATCCGACCAACCTGGTTTTACAGAACAAGGAGTTCTGCGAAACTTCTTGACAATTGAACACTGTCCATTCTAGTCCAAATTCAAATCAAAATCATTATCATTACTTCAGCTGCATTGAGGGACCTCCCTATCTACAAAACTCTTGGCGCTGCTTTACCTTGCTGGTCTCATATTAGCACTTCCCTCGTGAACTTCACGGATCATAATAAATGAAGAAGCTATAGGCATGTGCAGTACGGATGGAATATTTCACTTCCAGTTTATCACTGAAGATCCTGCCAGCTCGAGAGCAGGATCCTGTAGGAACAGTCTTTGAGAGCAAAAACTCGAGTTCTTCTCGTCAAGTAGTGTGTACGATAGCTGGTACTTCTCGCCCTGCAGTTCGTCTTTTAATGCTTTGATGTTCGTTTATACACTCAGTATATTGATGAAATTTTTCACTGCGCATCTCAGGAAAAAACTACTCGAAATTTAACCTAACAGGGAACCCCTAGAAAGTAGTCACTACGGAAAAAGCCCGACTCTTCCAACTAGTACAGCCGGGCTATCTACTTTAAAAGTGGTCCTGTGACTACCGGTGCTGCGAAACTATTAGTGGGCACACTACAAGTATACGCAAAGAGATTGATCGCAGGTAATGTTAAGATTAGTGTGACGCGTGTGGGTTTTCTTCAGCTGGTATAACTGCAGTTTAAGAAAAGGAAATGAATTTGTTGATGGAGAAGGATCTGTTGTATGATGTCGTTCTACCATTGCGCCGTCTGCAGTAACGTTTAAAAACAAAGGGATCCGTAACTAGGCGTTGTGGCTAACGTCATTTAGTATTTTGACGCGGCAAACCGAAGTCCCCTAAAAAATGACCACACTTTTTGCATTCAAAAAAATCTCGCTTTCGCCTTTTGGTTTTGACTTAGGTACCTCAAAAGTTCCTATTGATTTCAACTTGATGTCTGTAAATGCAGAGTGACGCGTCCCATTGTTATTTTTTGATCCTTTTTGCTTAAATTACTGGTGTTCAAAATGGGCGCTAGTAATTCTGCCTTCATTTGAATTATGGTGCAATATTTTGCATTTAGCTGCTTAACGAACTTCCAATGCAGACTGAGCATTACACAGCAATAGCAATATGAAGCGCATGCACCTTCTTCTAGATCCTGCTTTTCAGTGGCAATGTGTTGCAGCAAACATTACTGATGATGCAATGTTGCAACACAACAATATTAGGCAAATGATACAGAAAGCAGCACAACAAAAATCTGTCCGGAACTTCTAGCGCCAAGACCCATTTTGAAAAATTGCCTGCCGGAGCAATCAGCCCTACAGAGCGAATACCGCCCAGTAACAGCTGCTGTAAATACGTTTCCTCGCCAATCGTTTGACGGCATGACTCACCGGTGGTTCTTTCGCCATACTTAATGCTTCGCAGAACCAGTGGTGCTTCGGCAGTTTTTTCAAAAATCTCGCTGAAACTCCACCATCTCGCAGGGGATATTCCTGAAGTAAACACAGAGCGAGAGGACAACGTACACAGGTACAAATAACAAGTTGCTGCATGGAAAACACTGACTACTAAAGGGACAGTTGCTATTAAAAATGTCAACTGCAGTTCACACCCAGGCCTGCTTTTTTGTGAACAATTACGGCTGGATGCCAATCTGTAACAAGTTGGCTATTCGACAAAACAGTATGAGAATCTCATGAACAATTACACACCACGGCTAGGAAGAAATGTTATTTTCAGCAATGGTTATCAGAACAGTTTTATTTCGTTTCAAGCAGAAGTGATCAGCAGGATCGCCGAGAACCTCGGCTAGTAACAAACAAAACGAACGACGCCCAAAACCAAACGTAAAAAGTGGCCGACTGCAAATCAACAGTGAAATAAACGCTGGTTTGCAACTTCATCTTAATGAAAGAAGCACTCGGTACGTGGGAAAGATGTACCTCTTATCGTGGTTGAAATTACCAACAGCAGACATTCAAGGTAAATGCAAGACACCACGCAAACTGCAAGAAGCGAATTGTATGCGGGTTGTATTAAGCATATAAATATACTGTGACATAAGTGCAAGGACTCGACAAACTGTTTCATCTTGTAGTTTTCTATCTCCCCTTTAACCCTACTCATTCCCCACCCAACTTTTCTTCAAAAAATAAAAATAAAACAAAGTTACAACAAGCTTCACAACACTGAAAACAGTTTTTGAAAACAGCTGTATTATTGCTATCGAAGACCAATCTAGACCAACCTGCAGCCAGTGCACCTAAATGCATCCCACACGTACTTCTTGCCTTCAGTAACTTTTCGCATGACTTGGTCCTACCTACCTTGTACCTTTGCTACGGTCCATCGCACCTAAGAAACAATTAACAAAAAGATGCGGCCATACGAAAAAAACATGCGAGAGCACTGCCCAGGTTCACTCGCTGTCTAGAAAAAAATTTACGAACTTTAATAAACTGCGGCAGAACTCTAGGGCCTAGAAATTCCTGGCCAGTAAAGCATCCCGCATTAGGAAAGCACATTCCCAATCTAACGTGATAACAAGCTGCACCGTACTACTTCAAACTAAAAATTGCTGAGCAAATCACCTTAATGGCTTGTTGCTGGCATTCCACCCAGCAATTTCGCTTTCTTTTTTACAATAGCCGGTTGGAAGCTTCGTTGTAATGCAACGGAAATTCCCAGCTTGGAAATGGCTCACAATAAAACCAGTCCATCCATCTAACTGCTGCCACACGATGAAAACAACTTTGCCAAACAATCCCACAACAAGCAAGCTACGAAACAGTGACTTCCTATCTGCTAATTTAGCTTAACCAACCGAGAAATCAGCGACAACAAAAAACAAACTAAGGAAAGTCAATTGCACACAGTAACCTTTTACACGTCACCTTTGTGAAATGTCAGTGAGATCCTTCAAAATGTAATCTCATAGTCCTGAAATATTTTTGGTTTCATAAGCCAAACAATGAGGGATGAAGACATAAAGAAGCAGGAAGATGAAGATGGCTGCAGAGACGGTGGCGTATTATGAAATGAGAGAACCAGACTACAATCTCTTTACATTTTCTCGATCAGATCAATTTTTTGAAACTTGCGTGATGCTTCAAATTGTTCATGTCTGCTAATAAAGCACTGCCTAGATGTGGCCATACAAATAAAAAAAATGCAACAGCATCATCCAGGTCCACTCGCTGTCTAGACAAAAATTACGAATTTGATCAGAAATGCCCCTTTCCCAAGTACCAATGACGTCTTCTTTCATACAGATGATGCCATAATTAGACATTTTAGAAATCCGTTTTTGGTTTTTGTTTTGCAGTCGGTTCTTCTTTTTTATATCTGATTTCTAGCGCGTACATTTTGCAATCCAGTGCAGGATCCTTTATCTAACCGGACGTCTTTGTCAGCAATTCTAACCGGGATGAAGAGAACGAGGAACGCTGGACACAAATTAATACAGACGTTTATCATATCTGAAAAATGGATGGTGAAGGGTGCTGTTATAGAGACTACTAAGAAATCTAAGAAGTTGGAAGTAACTGAAACCCGGTACAAAATTCCGACGAAAACTTACGAGTGTAACGAATGTACTCCACCTTCAAGTTGCGCATTTGGACTTCTTCTCTCAAACCTCACTTCACCGCTATCTACTTTTTCTCTTAAATTGTTTTTTTTTACTCTTCAAGAAGCTTTAGCAGCAGAAACAATTTGTGCTGGATAAAGGTAAGTGTACCGTAACAATGAAATACTAGTCACTCCAATGTCTTGAAATCCATGTTGGATCCCTCTTACTAAATAAGGAACAAATTTGTGAATACTGCCCCTATCTTGCATTGTGGCTGACACGCCTTGAGCGACTTTTATCGCCTCGCCTTCACTAAATAAAATACAAAACTAAGTAGTCTGTTTTAACTGGAAACACCAAATGAAAACGTAAGAATAAGTTCTGAACTGACCTTGTAAAATACCGTTCCCGGCTAGCTGCGTGCGCTTCCATTGCATCCAGAGAACCCATCCCACGATACTTTTTCAAACGAACACCACTAGGACCCCAGAAGTATTCACCAGGAGCTTCCGTTGTAGCTGCCAACAACCCACCCATCATAACACTCGAAGCACCTAAAGCCAAAGCCTGAAAACAACAAAAAACTATCCCGATATAAACAAGTTAGACCTCAAAAGAAGCTCAAAAAACAAATTTAAAAATTCTCAATTTGCTCAAAAAGCTCCGTGTTAGCTTTAAATACGAGATTAGCATGAAGAACATGTTAGGCAACGAAAACAAACCTTTGTTATATATCCAACGTCTTTAATGCCACCGTCAGCTATAATAGGAACGCCGCGCTTTCTCGCATACTTGGCAACTTGATACACAGCAGTCCCCTGTGCCCTTCCAACAGCCATTACTAAATCAGTTCTTGAAAGTATTCAGGGAATTGAGATGAACTTTTTTAACTTACTGAAATCACCAGCAGGAGATTATGGGGAAATTATTAATCATTAAAAATGAGTAACCTACTTTCTTGTGTGATACATATAGAACCACTTCCCATGCCGACTCGAAGGGCGTCTGCTCCAGCATCAATAAGAAGCTTTGCTTGTCTTTGTGTCACGACTAAGAGAAATGAATATTACAAAAGAAATGAATTTCTTGAAACAAGAAATTTCTATTACTCTACAAAAACTTAAATCCAGCTAAGCCACTCTACAAGATAACCTCGGTTATCTTTGGAGTTACCCAACTTGTCTAAAATCCATTATTGATTTTTTAACTTCCCATCACCCTTTAGTTTTTCAAGCTTACAAAGGAAGCGTAACTTTACCGTTTCCCGCTATTACTTGGGGCGATTCAGGAAAACTCTGTTTAATCCACCGCAAAAGATCTACTTGAAAGGTACTCGCTCCTTGTGAAGAATCCTGAAAGCTATCTTTTTAAATAACAAGTGTTGGGAGAAACCACAACTCTTTTAACAGACAACAACAGTCTTCATTGTACATCATACAAAACGCTTATATCAAAAAGGAAAAAAAAAGAAGAAAGTGTAACTCGCTAACAGGTGCGGTGTACAAAAACCGAGCAAAAAAAAGGAACCTTTACATTCAACCATACACAATGTAGAGAAACAGTAACTTTAATTTCCAAGCATAATTCTGCTAAAATTTTACAAGTGCGCATAAATGATATCAGAACACAGATATTGGAATCAAGTGCAAACACCGCTTTGTGTTGATTTTAATTACCTTATGAGCAGAAATATCTGTACAACTGCATTTGGCACCCTAAAGTTTGTGGAAGATTTAGTTGCAAAAAACAGTTACATTAGACTATTTAAAAATACGTAAGTCATTAGGAAAAAAAATGTTTAGTGAAAGCAAATATGCTGTGAAACGTCTAGTGTTTTGGAGGAGGAAATAGTTGGAGGAAGTTGCAAAAAAACACTTCTCTTCCTACATAAAGAAGATTCAAGGCGACAACAGGCGATTATTACAAAAACTTGTAGTACAAAAACAAGCACTACACTATTCGTATCTATTCTTCAAATGTACAGGAAAGTGATGAGTTAATTAAACTCACTATTACTAGGACATCGACACCCGCAGCGGCTAACAGCTTAACTGCTTCTTTTGAGGCTTCACGAGTGTTTATAGCTGCACCAACCCTAAGCTGACCCTTGGCATCGTATGAAGCATAAGGGAAGTCTCGCGCTTTTTTTAAATCTGTTCTGGCAATCAAAGAAACCAATTCGCGATCGCTATTTATGATCGGCAATTTACCTAAAAACAATAGGCTTATTTTAAAAAAAACCACATGACCTTTGCTTTGGACTTCCATGTTCTGAAACTTAAAAACACTTTGAAAATTGACGCAAATGACGTAAAACATTTTAAAAAACCTTTCTTTTCGCTCTCAAGCAGATCATAGGCGTGTTCTAAAGTAAACCGCTCATCACCAGTGATCAACTTCTCAAACGGCACCATCACATCAACAATTTTTGTAGTTGCATATTTACTCGGGGGAATGAAATCAACATCACGAGAAGTGACCAAACCTGTGAAAACAACAAATAAAGAGATTTTGTATTTGTTGTTTGTTACTCGCAACACACATTAAAAATGTTAATAAACTATTCAAATGCTAACTAATAGTTTTCAATAATTACCTAAAAGAACGCCCCCAACTTGCCCGGTTGAAGTGACGGGTGTACCAGTGAAACCAAATTTTTGTTTTATGGTCATTAAATCTTTCACAGTGTCAGTTTCTTTGATACACTGCGGATTTGTTATAAATCCTTGCTTATAACGCTAAATAATTATCAGTCTTACCACAATAGAAAAAGTAAAACGACTAGCAATTTTTGGAGAAAAAGGACTAGACAAGAGTTGTTGAAGAGCTGAAATGTTACTGCTTGTAATCTAAAACTTTAAAAAAATAACTAATAAATAACCAAACTTTTTTCAAAAATACTATTACTACAACTTAAGAACAGTTAGAAAAACAATGTTTACCTTGACTTTCGAGACTTCGTTCACCTGGTCCTGGATTGTGGCAAAGTTCCCATGTATTATTCCAATTCCGCCGTGTAACTAGAAGGAAGCCAGTGATAGTAAAATGAATAGATCAAACAGATGAAAGCTATTTGAAGAGCACTTACTGCCATCGCTATGGCCATTTCGCTCTCAGTTACTGTATCCATTGGAGACGAAACCAGTGGTGCCTTAAGTGTTATTTTTTTGGTCAGTAGGGTTGTTAAATCAACTTTCGATACGGGAAAGTCGATAAAACCGGGTAAAACATTAAAGTCACTAAAAAATTGTTCCGATAAACGTTTAACGGAAACGAAAAGTTGTGGTTGAAGAATGTAACACAAATACACTAAGAATACGGACTTGAACGTTATACCGATATGACCCTGTAACAAGTCGGACAATTTCTGGCCATCTCCGTCAAACATGTCTTCTTCATCATTGTTTACCATTCTCAACAACAAACCCTGCAATTACTAAACAATTTACTCTTCTCTTAAATAAAACGCCTTTATGACGTCCTATCCTGTACCAAATTTTCAATAGATATTAGACCTTCTTATCAGCTCTATCGTAAACTAACAGTTTTCACAAATCACTGAACACTATCTACAAACATTGTACCTGCTCCTAAACAATTTGAGCAGTTCCAGTTCTATTTCATACTCTGCCCAGCTTTTAATGTGAGCAATTAACTTGCGTAACACAAAGTATAAATACAATTTTTGACATCAAATAAATGTAGACCTACTAGTAAATCTAGCCAAAATTAACCAATGGCCCCTAGAAAATAAAGACCAGTCATCTTCGTTGAACTAAACACAACACAACAAAACTCTCTCTGCTTGAAGACAACGCTGTGACAACATTACTGAATGACATCGCCTCAGAAGCCATTTGAATTTGTACACTGTGGAACTTCACACTGTACGAATTCAAGGGTGAATTTTGTCAAATTCAAGGAAAAAATACTCGAAGAAAGTGCTTCCCTCCCACCCAGTTGAATAATACGGATGTCACTGCACCAAGCTTGCCACTTCGCCTGCAGAAGCCCAAAACCAAAATAAACAGGATAATGACGTAACAAGTAACTTAGAACATATTGTTCCCCAATGCGTCTTCACTTTCTGTTTCTTTTTTCATTTTCCTTTCTAAGATAAAATTTATATGGCATCAATCATTAAACAACTGGTAACCCGCAACCCCTTTATTCCAATTTCCGTTACATTACCACAGAGCCAAAAACTGTGCTTTGAATACCGCGCCAAAAATGCAATGGAAATTGAAATGTGGTTTTGCTTGGATGACCTTCAGATATTCACTTATCTGAACGCATTCTTGATTTTCAGAGAATGCAGTTATAGACACTTTCAAACAACAACAAATTGATCAACGGATTAGCTAAAAATTGGTACGCTTCCTTTTATCGTTGTCCTCTGAATTAATTCCTTCATTCCAATCAATGGCGCCTAGCTAAAGCTGCAATCGAACACCTAAATATCAGCTATTTTATACAGCAATTTCTTTTGACAAAGTTCAAGGAGACAAATCTGCGCTCATAAATTGAGAAATCTAGTGAACTGACGTAACAGTCGGAACATTAATGCATTTAAAAAGCACTCTCAGGATTCTGTTTAAAACTGTGCTTTTGGTTACTCTTACAACAAAACTTCCAGCAATAATCACTCATAAATAAATTTTGATCCATTTTAATTACAAACATTTGATTATTTTAAGCACCATAAGCGATAAAATTTTTGCAAATCCGTATACCTAGAGACTAGGGATTTAACATAGAACCTGGTGAAGAAAAATACTGCTTCCAGCTTTTGAGCCAAAGATTGAAAGTGACCAAACTAAAATTGGCCTCCTGAAATCACTGATACCGACTAAAGAGGGCATATATTTCTTAAATATAATTTAATCGAGCTTTTTCTTATCAGCACAAAAATCTATTGCCGTTTAGCGTCTTATGTACCTTATACTAATTGCTGAACAAACAAGGTACGCTGAACAGCCGGTAAAAGGGCAAAATCGGTCAGTTACATAGACTTTTTTCTGCAGCAGTACAATTTTGCAGTTGATTTCTCAACAATTTAGGCACGTAAGAGAAGAATATTACTGTATGTATCAGCTGCTGTAACTTAGCAAATAATTGGAAGAAAAAGAAGAGATAATTTGCAGCACTGTTAAAGGGGGAAAAAAGTAACGTAGTGAACACCGAGTCAGTTATCGAAAACCAATTTAAATAAATGCATCGACTATACAGCAACAGTAAACGATTTGAATAAAAGGTTAGAGTAATAAATAAACACAAAAAAGGCACTACTTTTGGTTAGGCCTTCCAAAAATTACAGAGTATCATCACCAGTACTGCTACCATCATTAAAATGCTTTTCATATTTTTCACAGTCGAGCAATAAAAATTCTAAAAGTTTAATCCATTTCCTCTTCTTTTTTTTTTCAATCAGGTGTCTCCAGTAATGATGACAAAAAAATAGCTGACCTTTTAAACCGAAATCAGAAATCTTTGAAACAAACCATGACAAACAAGAAGCACAAGCCTAAAACTAAATCTCCCTATGTTTAACCTTTCTTTACAAGAAAACCACATAAACTAAGCATTCTTTTTCCTCAACTTCCAAGAGAGGAAATTTCGAGAGAATGAAACTGAGAGAGGAAGAAGAGCGGATAGAAGAGGCTGATAAAACTTGCAGATTTCCTGCAATCAAATATCAAATACCTTTTTGATGGTGTAAAATGAGTTAAATTCAAAAAGATACAAATAATATCGTATTAAATTTTGGCAATTCTAATCAACCAAATCCTCCTCCGCCATTTTGTTACTACAGCCGAGGCACTCAGCAGCAGCAGCAGCAGCAGTGACAGCACTTGTTGTAGCAGTAGCAGTAGCAGTAAAAGCAACGATGGCTGCAGGAGCAACAAGCAAGCTGATGAACCGTGGTTACCATGGTGCCTAAAAACTCGGTGTTTGCCGTAGTTAAATCTGTTCAACAGACATCATCACACACCATAAACACTTCTATCTGGTAAAGCCATCAATTAGCAACAAAAAAAAAAAAAAAACTAAATTTCACTGAAACGGATAAATAGGTCAAGGTAATCTTCTACTTAATACTTCTTTGCGTTACAGAAACACAAACAGCAACGACGACAAAAATAATCAGAAGAATAGCAAACAACAAACGGCTCTTCATAACTAAAAATACTAGCTAAAAAAAAGAATTCTTTTTTTTCCCATTCCATTAAATTACCACACTAATTTAACACCTTCAAAGCTGCTTCCTATCTTATTAACCTGAACACTGTTTGATCATTAATTGGGGTATTAAAAAATAGTTTTAAACACTTACGCATATATTTTTACTTGATTATGTCAATAAAAACATTAAAAGGAAAAATAATGAATGTAATTAAAAGATGAATCAGCTAAAAAAAAAAATTCAATTACGCATCAATTTATTCATCTACTATAGACAAATATTTCTTCAATAATGTTTTTTTCCAGCCAAAAATTGCCAACTTCCTTCCTCTTCTCACGTTTCTTAGCAGCTTACCATGACTTTCCAAAAATAAATAAATAAACAAATTGAAATAACTAAAGAAAAATAACAGCGAAAAATAAACTGAACCGTTTCATTTTCAAATAACTTCATCGTTTACATAGCACACAATTCATTCAGTTCACAACCAATACCAATCAGGAGCAAAAGAAAAAAAACAACCGAAACCCTCAAATACATAACCCATCCTGTCACATATACAGAAACACTTCTGACACTGTTAAGTTATAAGAAAAAAAAGAACGCACTCATCCCAAACTATTTTTTTTTTTTGCCAATAATCCCAAACAGTGTTTCCGGAACGCTTCCATTACGGTGATAATTTATACATCTTTATCACTCAAACCTTTACTAACTTGAACACTGCATTAAATTAACATCTTTTACTGGATGTTTATGGTTTAATTTAGCTGAAAAAAGTTAAGAAAAAACAGAAGAAACTTTTTGGTTACCACATTCACTTCAAAACAGAAAAAAAACCATTTTTTCGTTAAATCCGTACATTACCGAACAGAGATCCATCTGTCATCCGACGTCTACAACGTATAACTTCAGCGATTGTTTTCCAGTAAAATATTCATTCCATAACTGCACATAGTTTTGTTGATTTACCGTTTGCTCAGCTATACAATCAAAAAAAAGCATTCAAGAAACAACAAAAAAGTAGACTAAAGACAATAGCATAGAACGTAAAAAATGGTTAAAACAAAATAAATTTTAGAATAACTTCAAAGCCTAATTTTTTTTTTGATTTGAACCAATTCCGATGTATAAAAATCACTAATCATCAGCAGTAAATTCATCTAAATTTCTTCAGAATTTTTCCAGAAACTATTCCTGAATACAGCAGCCGAATGTATCGCCTAACAATAACAGTAACAAAAGTTGAACTTTTTTTCGATATATATATATATCTGATGGCATAACTTTTTTTTTCCCCTGTTACAGTTTCACTGTATATACAGACGAAACAGTGTAAATAGCTAATTCAGAAAAAAAACCTAAGCATTACATGTTTTGATTTAAAAAAAATATTTTCACCAAATTCATTCGTTCGACAATAAATCTATTGTTGCCTTTTCTTCAAATCGTTTTTTTCTTCTTCCTTTTTTTTCTTTTTCTTTCTTTTTCTAAACTTTCAATTCGTATAAATTTTCTTGTCTAAATTAGTCAGAAATAAGCTGTCAAGAAAGAAACGACAAATATTAATATAAATGATAACAACTAAGGAATAAAAAAAAAGGCTTGATAGTCTACTGTATGAATTCCTACCAATCATACTTAATTATAATGTCAATTAAAGTTAGTTGCTAACTAAATGAAAAAGCCTCCTCTCTTCTAAAATCATCAAAACCTATTTGATATATAGCAACACTTAGATGTCAAACAATTTTTCAATAGCTATATATCACTTTCAAAGTTGCAACATG